TATTTTAACCCACATATATTAGGTTATTAAAATAACCTAACAACCTCCCACTTAGGCTACAAATTATCCCAAATATATCACAATCATACACTATAACCTTAATTAGTGCTTACAACACTACTACAAAAACAACTTTTCGAATAGGTTGTTTTTGACTTTTTAAATTAGTTGTTAACCGATGCAAAAAGTAGCGATTCAATTGGTTCAAATACTTTTTGAGTTGGATGTTCAGCCAATTCAAAAAGTGCCGCCCAGAAGTGGCGCGAGATCTAGAAGGCACCTTTTGAATCGGTTGTTTGCAAACAACCGATTCAAAAGATGCCTGCCATAATTGGCGCAAGTTCTAGGAGGCACCCTTTGAATCATTTTTTGGTAAACAACTGATTTAAAAGGTGTCTCCCAGAAATGGCGTCTATTCTGGGAGGCACCTTTTAAATTGGTTATTAGCTAATAACCAATTCAAAAGGTTAATTTTTAATAGGTTTTGTAACATAGAAACAAAAACAGCAAAACATACAACACAAAAACACAACACAACATACAAAAAACACACCTTTTACACAATAATATAACTCAACAATATACATGTCTCTAGTGGTAGAAAGGGTTTTTGTTGGAGTTGTGCCTTGATGGCCAACGGTTTTATCGCTATTCTATCATTTATAGGAAGATATAATATGTTTACACATCTCATGCTAATGTAAACAAATTTTATATTTCTAGATTTATATTTCAAGATGTTTATCAAATAGCGTTTCTCTGCTGATGAGACTAACATCTTGAAATAAATATTTATCTGAATGTCCATAGTTGAGTATTAATGAGAGCAGGATATTGTTAATGCGTGTGAAACTAGCATGTGTTGGATGATTGACTTAGTCTCATAGTCAATGACGGTGTGTTCACATTTGCACAGGGGCAAATATTATCTGGAGATAATAGGATGCCAGATTGACCAATCCTAAATATGTTGCTTGAAATTTTAGTTCATGCTTTAAGCATCTTTAGTGCGACCACGGGTGTAACTATCCTTCGACTTGAAGTATTACGTTATCTGCATATGTGAACCTGCATGCTTTGATGCATTGTCCTAAGCCACATGAAATAAGGATGGCATACAGGCTTTATTTTGGGTATGCTGCAGCGTGTATTCAGAAACGTAGATTACGTACATTGGATTTGTCACTACTCCTTTAAGAGATTAATGTCTTGTGGGGCCCACTGATAAGTTATGACTAAGGAAATTGCATGGCCATGCTGAGATGCTTTTATAACTTCTGTTCCTATCAGTCAGACTTGATAAATAAGTGAATGACTTAATGGATACAAACTGGATTTTATAATCCCTTGCATAAGTCTAGACATTGAGACAAAGAGATATAGTTATACGAAGTCTAAGTTGTGGAAAGGTTTTGACGGTGCAAACGTTTTTACTTATAATCTTGGAGCAATAATGCGTTGCTAGATACTGCTTATTGCTTATATATTGGTGCAGAGCTAATACTATGGCCATCTTTATAAGTGCCTATACGGGTCACACACTTTAAACAATTTAAGGAGTAGGATTAAACAATGAGATAATAAGTAATTTATATATTTGTAGAATAGTAAAATAAAATATTTTGGAATATAATATTATACACACACACACACACACACACACACATATATATATAATTCGGTTATATACACACACAGATATATATATATATATATATATATATATATATATATATATATATATATATATATATATATATATATATATATAT